TTTGTTTGAGTTTTTTGCAAGCTTTAAGCACTCGCATATCTTTAAGCTAAGCTGGCTTCAATTGGCTAAGTTTGTGCGTGCAACATGTGGCAAGCTGCTGTGGCGCGTGCCACAGTTGCCCTTTGGGGGCGTGTATGCAGCACTTAACAAATCTTCAAGCAATAAACACCACACACACACACACACACACTCGCACAGGCAGGGGCTTAGCATGTGGCATGCTGCTGTGGCGCCCCTTAATGCATGCTGCAATAAACATGCTGCAAGTGGCAAGACGCCGCACAGCACAAATCTGAATGCGCCACACTCACACACACACACACACACACACACACACACACAGAGAGGCAGGACCATAAGGACCTGCTCCTTTTCGCAGAGCTCAGACAACAATTTGTAAGCCAACACACGCCCAATTAACCAACAAGAAGAAGAAGAAGCAGCAGCAGCAGCAGCTGTGGCAGTGGCAGTGGCAGTGGCAAGTGGCAGCTCCTGGCCAGTCGGACCCTGTGACTTTTGGCATGGCCTTGTGGCATGTGGCATGTGGCATGTGGCCAGCTGCCTGCTGCCAGCTGCCCATACAGCATCATTTTTCAAAGGGACACACTTTGCAGCTCGCCACTTGACTGAGCATTTGCTTAGCAGCTGCCCCTTGCCTCATCCCCGCCTCCTTTGCCTGCTCCGTCTCTGTCTGTTTGTGGTAAGTGCCACAATTGTGTGTCAAGGTCGTCTGCTGCTGCTGTTGTTTCCTGCTTCAAGACGATGCCCCAAACGTTGTGGCACGAACGAGCACAATAACGTCTCCAGCCCGGGTGAATATTCTGCCTGCAATTGTGTATGCGTGTGTGTGTGTGTGTCTGTGTGTGGCAAGTGTATTGTGTGGCAAGCTCTATGTTGGAGGATGGAGGCAAGCTGTCTGCTCCGGCAGTTGCCGTAGAAATTCTTGGGGAATACCTTTTAGCAACTCAGACTTGTCTGACTGCGGCTCCTGCTGATGTGTGTGTGTGTGTGTGTGTGTGTGTGTTTGTGTGTGTGTGTGTTTGTATGCTACTTATGACTGTTGTTGTTCTTGCTGCTGCTTTTATACCCTGAGCCCAGTGTAAGAAGGCTATCTTCTTTCTGTGCAACTGTTAGAGGCAGTTGACAGCATCCTTGACTATATATATATATATTAAAGTATATATATTCTTGATCGGATGGACGAAAAGAGTCGTTCTAGCCATGACCAGCTGTCTATCTGTTTGTCCCATCATCTGTCTGCGCATTGTGAGAACGTGTCTAACTCGAACTGGAGACTTGATAATTTACGTATATTATATATATTCTCATATATATCTTCTCTTATACCTCTCATATATATCTTCTCCTATACCAGCATTTTATTATTATATCAATCGATTTCTGCACATTTCCGATAGTAAAAATCGATCAAAATCAATTATGAGACTTGGATTTTTAGGCATAACTCGAGAATTATAGAAGCTAGTTACAGCAAACTTGGTATATAGTTACTTGAATAGTATTTACAGATAAAAAATAAATCTTTTTTTATATACCTACCCCCATTCCCCCTCAAAACATTTGCAATGCTAGAGCCTTGCGCCTGGGTAATCACACACTTTTCTGGGCCCTACTTAAGCCATGGAAATTTCATTAAGATCGTACTTCAAATACCCAAGTTAGGATAGAATACATCCCCTCTAATAGGAGGCTAAGTGAAGAAGAAGAAGTAGCGAAGCGTGCATGTGTGTGTGTGTGTGTTTCTTTCTGCTCGTATGCATAGAAAGAAGTTCAAGTGCTTGCAGGTTTTGAGGGTATCTGCAAGTCGAGCACAACCGTCTAGAGCATTCGTGCTGCTGCTGTTGCTGTTGTTGCCGCTTGTCTGCCGCAATTTTACTCTCGAAAATTGTGTGAAAATTGTTTTTCTTGTTGTCTTGCAGTTGTTGTTGTTGTTGTTGTTGTTGTTGTCGTTGTCGTTTGGCCTTTTGCCTTTTTGTTTAAGATTCTGTGGCTTGTACATTTGTAAATAATCTTGTTTTACATCGCATCCGAGTCCGAGACTGGAGACTGGAGATTGTCCGTCCGGCTCCAGTGCCGGGCAATGCCGGTCAAAGTTTAGGGGGCGGGGCTGCCAACCGGACGGCTACATAATTTATGTGTGAAAAGTCTTTCTCTGGCTCTTTCTCTCTCTGCGTCTGTGTGTGTGTGTTTGTGTATTTGATTTTGGCTTAAGAATTTTAGGCTAAGGTTTCTTGTGTTCGTGTGTGTGTGTGCGTGTGTGTGCGGCAGCTTGAGTCAATTATGTTGCACAGATATCGAGTTAACAAATTAAATGCCTCTTTGCCACATGCCGCAAACTGATTGGCCTTAAATAAACATTTTAATTGTTTGATTTTTGGGCGAAGCTTTTGAGGCTTATATTGTTAATTAGGGCAGGAATTATTGAATCTACATTCACAATTGCGCACAATTTATTGTGAATAGGGGCTTCAGAAGAGAATCAACTTAATCGCATGCTACACGTTAATTATATAAATGTATATATAAATAAATAGACGATTCCTTCTGAGTTAATTCGAACTTCTATAAATACTCCCATTTCTGCGAGACCTTCCTTCCACATTAAACACGAGAATAACTTTTTTAAGTACTCTCCACGATTCGATGCGGGACACCAAGTAGACCTTTCCAGATCTCAGGCTGTTCCTTTTGGCCAGGCCAATTGGTTTGACATCCTACAAGGAACAAAAACATAAACGCGAAAATCTCACAGCTTCAGTATTGAAGTCCGAGAAGGACTTGAAGACCCACAGAATTCCCGTTCTGAGCTGAGGAATGGCAATAGGGGTGAGGGAGGTGGGGGCGTGGCACTATCATGCTAATGATCAGCATGAAGCCGTTCTCCTATAACCAGCAAAAAAGTCAGAAAACTTTAGAAAAGGTTAACCTCAAGCCGAAAAGCGAATTCCTCGAACGCATCTGCTGAACTGCGGAGTAAGAGGCGAGATGCTAAAAATTAACTTACTTAATAATAAATATAATTAAGTTTTTATTTAAAATCTCATTGTGAGATTTCCTTTTGAACCCATTTACAAATTCAAATTATATTTAATTAGCCAACATCTAATTAAATCAGACATAGATGGCGCCAGTGTGCAAGTCCCAAAAATTGCCCTCAAAAAGTTGTAGTCCAAGATAGGGGTTCTTTTCCGCGCTAAATTGCTGGGGTATTTATGTTTTATCCAGAGGGTTCTTTTCCACACTAAATGTCGGGTATTTTTATTTTATCCCGAGGGTTCTGTTCCGCACTAAATGTCGGGTACTTTTCTGTTATCCCGTGGGTTGTTTTCCGCACTAAATGCCCGAAGTATTTTTGCCTTATACCAAGGGTTCTCGTTTACACTAAATGGGTATTTTTGTTCTATTCAAGGGCTCTTGTCCGCACTAAATGCCTGAGGTTTTCCAATTTTCCCAATGGTTTTTTTCCGCACTAAATACCTGGGCTATTATTATTTTCTCCCAAGAGTTCTTTTCCGTACTTAATGCCTGGGGTATTTTTGTTTTATCCCAAGAGCTCTTGTCCGCACTAATTACCTGAGGTTTTTCTGCCATCCCAATGGTTTTTTCCGCACTAAATGCCTGGGGTATCCCGAAGGTTCTTATTCGCACTAAATGCCGGGTATATTTATATTATTCCATGGTTTCTTTTACAGACTAAAAGGCTGCAGTAGATTTATTTCATCCCATAGGTTCTTTTCCGCACAAGATGCCTGGGGTATATATATTTTAACCCAAGGGTTCCTATACAAACACCAATTTTAGTCAGCGCATGCGTTCCACTCCAGTTCTACTCAATCAAGTTGTAAATAGTATATAATTCCAGTTTTAATTGATTAATGTGCTTAAAAATTAGTATAAAATACTATTTTGAACTGATTCCATGCGAAATGGAAGACTTTAACCTTTAATAACTGAATCTTAACATCATTTTAGATATGTTATGTCTAGTTTTTCAAAATGAAACTTTTATTGACAATTGTTGTGCTCATATTATGATAGATATGTTTATATATGATCCAGACACGCAACACACACGCATAGGAACATAGACACACACATGACATATAAATAGTTCCTATTTCGTTATCTCATGCAGTCGCCCTTGAATAAACATACTATTATCTACAACTCGTATATACTATGTATGACGCCTTGCTCGCCTGATCAGACGCAATTGCTGTGACTATCAGCGAGATTCCAAAATATAAAAGATTTCAATCATTCCTCACACTTATGAGCAATGCCCCAGCTAGACCCTGGGGACAGCTCATGCGCCTTTCGAATCGGTTCCAAAGTTCGCGCCCAGACATCGGACATTACGTAGTTTCCAAGCGATTCAGAGTTATTTAGACGCCGCCACGAAATAACCATAAAAAATCGAACGATAAGAAATTATCAAGCGTTATCAGCAGGGCGCCGAGTGAGAGAAAGAGAGAGAGAGAGAGAGAAAGAGTCCCTGGCTCATCTGCAGACACATTAAAAAGCATTAAGACATAAATACATATTGAAACATGGAAGAACATTAGGAATAGGAATCCAGCCTTATCGCCGAAATGCACGGCCATTTATCAGCCTAATTCTGAGCGCTGTTTGAAAATCGAGCGATCCGTCTTCCATTCAGTTGAGTTCCAGCAAGAGCCGAGCGAGGTTTACACGCAGCTCAATTTAATAGCAATAATATATAATAAAACAAGACTTCTTAATTTTGATAAGAATTAACAAAATTAACAAAATTGTATACACTCAAATAATTAAACCCAACTAAATCTATCTAAACGGAGGCGTAAAGTGCAACAAATCATAAATAATTAGCTTCAAATAAAAACATTTTCAATATTATTTGAATAAATAAAATAAAATGCTATAAAAATAAATATATATATATATATATATGTACATAAGTATATATACATTTTTATAAATAAGTAGAAAAGAAAACTATAATTTTTATAATTAAAGTATATATGCAAACGGAATTATAAATGTGTGAAGCAGCATTTTAAAATCGAAATCTAAAAGACAGTATATAAAATATATAAATATATATATTCTAAATAATATATATATATATAAGCTCCATATAATCACACACATTTCGCCTGACTGATAAGCCAGACTGAGTTCTTGGTGCAGGCGAAAAAAAAAAAAAAAAAACATCTTCAAGACGCGTTGCAACTTTTGAACTCGGCGCTGCGATGATTTCCCATACCGTGAGGTGAGCATAGAGAGCGCTCTATATATATATATATATAGAGCAGCATGTCGCCCGATAAGCGAGTATTAAATTCGACTTGCCATTTGTAGAGTATTCAAGCTGATGTATATCGTGGCTGGCATACTGATTAGCAATGAGGAAATCTGCGATACGGTCGATCGCATACAAATCGCGCCACGCGTCGAAATGAAGCCCGAGCCGGAGCAGCGCGGCGGCGGCATTGGGGGCATCGGTGGCGTGGCGACACGGCCGGAACGCGATTCGCCCAAATCGAAGCGACGCAGGAAGGTGAGCGTCACCGGACTGGCCGGCGGCATGGTGCGCGGCGTCACCAGCAAGGTGACCAGCCAGGTGACCAGCCGCATGGGCGCACACTGCAGCTGGCTCTACAACATGCCCCTCATCCTGGGCCAATGGCGCCGGCTTGCGCTCAGCTTCACCGTCTGGACCATACCCAACTGGCTGCTCGAGTACACGTCCAGCTACATCAGCCGAAAGTTCTTCATCAACAGCGACTGTGATATGATCTACAAATAGTCAGCCTCTCTCTCTATATATATATATATATGCCCCAGCATCTGATCTGGGCATTATAGTTACACTACACGAGCTGTCCAACAACTGCAGCAGAAAGTTTTTTTGGTAGCCCTCAAGTATATATAGTATAGCTATTGAAGAGCCCTGTTCCATGTGAACTAGTCTCGCCGAGCAACTATCCGGCTCCAAATAGGCGAGGCTGCTTCTCCTAGCTGCAATTAGTACATATCCCAACACCCAGTCGGATCGGTTCACTATATCTTGTAGATGCCATAGGCAAGTCTGAAGTAAAATCTTATAGTCTTGCATCAAAACTTGGGCGTTGCTTAGTCAACAATATTTTGGCACAAGTTTTTATACGCCCGACAACTATATTATAAAGAGGTCATAGGAAGAATCGCGCGAAATTTAAGATTCTCTGTGAAAATTCTCTTTGTTTTCTAGGCTAAATCGGACTACTTTAACACACAGAGTTTCCATAGCAAAGATCGTTTTATTACTATATATATAATCTATATATATTAAACTACTTTGTTAATATTTAGCTTATGCATGAAAAAGTGTTTTGATTTGTTTCAAAATATCTTGAAGAAAGTCAACAATTACGAGCATATATTTAAGTGGTCCATTATATCTTATTAGTAGGAAAGATATGTCAAAAATTTATAGATTACCTTTATTTGTTCTTATAGATTATGGACTTTCAAGAAACTCAAGATAAGATTGTTTAGGGTCCAATGCAAAAGAATAAATATTTTATGTATATCAGTTAAGTATACGTAAAATATTTAAATTTCATTCTAACATGAATCAAATTTATGAACTCTGCAAGAAATAAATTCCTGTTCCTCCCCAAAAGGAACCTTCTGCCCCCTCTGTTCTCTCTACCCCTCTCCCACTTCAATTTCTCTCTACTTAAAAGTTGAAGAAGACACACAAAGAAGTGAAATTTATTTAAGTTTTAGTGCTAAGATGCAATAGTTAGACATAAGTTGAAATAAATTAAGTGTTTGCCAAACATTTAGACATCGATTTGCATATTGAATATAACTTGTATATATATAAATATCTTTTAAGTTTGCGGTATATAGCATATGGTCCCAGCGTAACAAGGTTTCGTCCTATTTCGCGATGTTGGTCTCCTCTAATCGCCCTCGGCTATGTAATGCTCCGTGTTGTCTGGACTGTTGCCGCCGCCGGCGCTGCCGGAGCGTACATTGAGGCTATTGTGCAGCATATTCGCTATGCTGTCCACGTCGAGATTCTCGTCCGTGGCCGAGATCTTGCGTAGAGCGGAGCAAACGATGCTCAGATCGCCCTTCAGCTCGCTGACCACGGCGGTTATCTTCTGGGCATTGGAGAGAACTTCCACGCTGCTCGTGTAGGGATTGTAACGTACCCCAAACGGACGCTGGATGCTCTCCGCAAAGGCTCTAAAGAGAGCGGGAGAGAGAGAGAGAGAGAGACTCGAAGAGAGGCTGGAGATATTAAAGGGTCACCTACCGCATTTTTTCCTTGGCCTCCTCGAAAGAGTCTGTATAGTAATAGGCATTCTGATAGGATGTGATGATGCACTCCTCCTTGCAGGTCAGCTCCGGATCGAATTTCTTGATCTTATCTTGTGCCGTAATGGCATGCTGTAGCTCCGCCACAGAGCTGAGCAGACCGGCGCCGTAGACCTTAAAGCTGTTGTCCGCCTGCTTGCACAGGCCAAACTCGACAGTGAAAAAGTACAACTACAAAGCGGAAAATTACTTAAAGATCATTCAAAAAGGGGAAACTAAAGCTCAGCATCGGTTAATTCAATTGAAACCAACTCTGATACTCAATCAAACCGAAAGACTCGAGCCGAAGTCGAACAAGCTCGATCAAACGCAGTTCGAACAGGTTCAAGGCAAAATATGCCTTGCATGCTCGAACTTATTTGTTGCGTTTGTTTCGAGTATTCGATAGACTCCATTTGTTAACCACAACTCAAACAGCTCGAGCTAAGTTTATTTGAATATTAACGCGCTCGTTTTTTCGATTTGTTTAAGTATCCGATACGCGTTTCGATTAACTCATAATACCAAGTACACACACCGTGGCCAGCTTCTCAATGTCCGCATCGCAGGCGCCCAGCGAGGCGAGGCCAATCTCCTGTGAGAACTGGGCAAAGCTCGAGTTGGCCAACAGCGGCATGTGGCCCAAAAGTTCGTGACAGCAATCACTGGAATTTGTAACACAATTAACACACACACATACACACACACACACTCGGACACATACGGCTCAGGCGTGTAGAAGGGATCCGAAGAGTGCCTTATGTACTGCGTGCAGTGGAACACGCGAAAGGCCAGCCCGGAGAGAAAGTCACGGGGCGAGAGATAACCAGCGACGGGACGCAACTGGAAGCCCGTCTTGCGCTTCAGATAGCTGCTGACATCCTGCAGCTGGGGCAGATTGTCCTCACGATAGCCACAAAACTTGACCAACTCCGGCCAGTTCTCCATGTACTCGGGCACCGCGTGCAGCTGATAAAGGCGATGCAGCTCCAAGAAGACGGTGCCCCTGCCCAAAACAACAAAGTTGCAAAAGCAACAACACGATAATTGAATTGCCACTTACCAAGTTTTCACCTCCTCCGGCGTGTACTGCACGCGTGGAATGGGATTGCCGCTAAGAGGAGGAGCAAGAGGAGGCAGGATATAGCTGAGTTTTAGGAAAGAAGGGAAGCCGCTGCACTTACTGCTTGAAATTGTTGGCTATGGCCGAGAACTGTTCGCGGCGCTTGCGATAAATGGGATCCTTGAAGCCGGGATGGTCGGCATCCAAGTCGGACCCATACATGAGCACATTCTGCGCCTGATCCAGGTCGGATATCTTGCGCGGAAACCAAACCATGTCACCAAAGTCTGCGTCATATGGGAAAATCAATTTACAGAAGGCAAATCAAATTTCAAAATATTAATTTCCCCTTATACCCTCTATTTGGAACTGGACAAAGGTTAGTTTTGTTCTTGATACATCTCTTGAAGCCCATTGGAACTTTTATTAGCCACATCGTATTGAGCTATTCTTACTCAGTTTTTAAACAAGCGTTCTTCTATCCGTTAATTCCATGGGAATTAGGCTTTGATATATTCTTGCTAGGTTTCAATTCTATTCCATAGAGTATTAGAGACCCCTCACTCTTCGTAAGTATCAAAAGGATTTGGATGCAGGTACTCACCAAAACTGGAGCAGGCGGACAGGGAAGGCGCCCGGGCCAAAGTGTGCGCATTTACGGACGTATAGTTGACCGAGGCGACCTCGCGATTGAGCATTTTCACCACCTGATCCAAGCGGCGTGGATCGCACTCAACATCCACCAGGACATCGGCCTGATTGCAGCTCGCCTCCACGGGCGACAGCTCCAGGTGCAGCACATTGATGCCCAGCTCCTGGAAGACCTGCAGCGCGCGAGCCAAGTTTCCCACCTGGTTCTTCAACGTGAACAAAATGGAGATGCGCTCGCCGCCGGCCGCAGGCGGACGCCCTGCATCGCCGGGCAGGCGCGCCGGCTCGGCGGAGCCACCGTTGCTCCGTTCCTGCTTGTTGGAGGACGAGAACAATAGAAAATTGTCGCCAGGTGCCGAGGCATGTCGGGCGAGACTTGCGTGCGTTGAGGAAGCCCCCGCCGCCGCCGACTCCTTCTTGAGCGTGTGCAGCGGACTGCCCTGTTTGACGGCCCATTCCTGTTCGCCGCTGCGGTACAGCCACAGGCCCAGCAGACTCTTGCCCGATGCGCTCATTCTCATATGTATATATGTGAGGCTGGAAGAAATTGCCCGGCGTTGGCCGGTTCAAATTAATATTGCTGAAAATGCAAAAGGCAGCGAAAATCAACCCAGCACCACGCCACTCAAGTTGCGCCCAGACAGAACAATTAAACCAAGTAAATATATCCAAAAATATTTTTCTCTCTTTCGACTACTCGTTGGTTCAAACCATAAGCTTTTTATTGGAGCTCTTAGCCTACTCTCTCAACTATTTGAGTTATACTTTTAACATTATTACTGCTTCTTTTTCTGGAAATAATAGGCATAGAGATTAACACATATCAAAATTGTAATGTTGCTACTTGAGTTGAACCAGCGACTTCTCGCTGGCTACCTAATGCACGGACAACCAAGCCAAGCGTAAGTTACTCTTGATGCTCTTAATAGGCTTAACCAAACTTATATCTTCGCGAATAAACCACAGCCCTGTCGTGTTGCTCACTTTCGGCTCAAAAGAAAGTTTTAATATGAAATTTCAATTTTCTAGCTCTATTGTCTTGTCAAGAATAATCCAGTTACTTTTTGGGTTGTGTACAAAATTCACTTTATTTCACTTTTATTCACAAGTGTAGCACACGCGTCGTATACGCAATGCAAACGCAACGGCAACTGCAAGATCCTGCCAAGTCACAAGCGCCTTTTATAGCCAGCCTTGTGGCAGCACACACACACACACACACAAAAACACACACACACACAGACACACACCCATTAAAATACATACATATTCAATTGTATTTATCAAGTGTGCGTAGCGAGATAAATTTGTTCAAGGATATAAAAGCTACAAGTGAGTTTCTTTTGCTCCTCCTCCTTCTGGCAGGCTCTGTCTGTCTGTGTGTGTGTGTGTGTGTGTGTGCGTGCGTGTGTGGGTGGCTGTAGCTCGTTCTGATTGGCCAAATCACGCTGAAATCAGGCTAGCTCTAACACATGACGTCATTTCACTTTCTAATCAGCAGCAACAACATTTAATGCGTTAGGAGTTCGAGTTGAACGTTTATTTTATTTTACTTATTTTTTCTAGTTTTTTTTTTCTATTTTCTGCTGTCAGCGCTTGACTTTCAAATGCGTTTGCTTAATTTATGCGGGCATGAAATACCGTGAAACGAGCTCTACATAACCAAATGGAAGACTTATAGTCAGAAATTCCAACCGATTGGAAAGAAATCGAATAAAATAGCAACAAATGTGAATGTTCGAATCAGTTGAAAAAAATACTAAATAAGAATTTTGTAGGGCTAAGAAAATATTTAATAGAGCAGCACTTCTTACTTATTAAGAACAAATCTACAATCAAAAAAGTTTATTGTCCTAAATTTGAGAAAAAAAATTCCATAAAACGAAAAAGTAATCCGAGCTATCTTTCCGTTGAGCCTTTTCGAGCTGGAAAAGAACTAAATCTTCGAGATAAATTTACTTCAAATTCCTAAAACTTACCCGATTAAATCGGTTATGAATCGAATCGGTTAATACGTAGTAAATTTTAGTTCCCTTTCCGTGGAGCCTTTTCGAGTAGAAGAATTTAGCTCCTGAATACATTTATGCCAAATTCTTTAAACTCAATGAAAAGGTACTTAAAAAACCTTTGTTATTCTAGAAAGGATTGCATCGAATCGGTTATACCTTAGCCAAAGTAAATTTGAGTTCCTTTTTTGTTGAGCATTCGACAAACGAGTACTGCGAATCGGCTATAAATGATAACCGCTTTTCTCATTTTAAAGAAGAGGACATCGAATCTGTTGAGATTAGGTCATGCTAATTTCGAGCTCCCTTCCTGTTGCGCTTTATCGATTTGGAGTAGTCATTTTTTAAAGGAGTGCATCGAATTAAAGTTATATTCGAGTTGCCTTTCCGAGTAGGAAGCGAGCTATACCATCTGCATACATTTATTGCAAGGCACCAAGGCACTTACTGCGAATCGGTTATTGCTTCTGTCACATAAACTTTCACTGGACATCAGTCAAGTCTACGGTATGTGGCATGCGGCATGACAAGGCAACCACTTGATGCGCTCGCCATGCCGTGCCCTGCCTTGCCTTGCCTTGACAATGTGCTGAAAGTTGGGCCCAAGCGGCAGAGTCAATAACAGATAAATGGCAATTTCTTTTGCTTTTGCGGTTCTGCTTTCGCTCCGCTTTGGTTCGCTTTGGGCCACCATTGTTTGCGCTTAGAGAAAAGCAAACAACGGAGAAGGGGGGCAGCTTCTGTTTGAGCAGGAGAAAGTCAAAGTTA